TAAATTAATTAATGTCAAATATATATTGCCAAACTGATACAGAAATTAGTGTCTGTTGGAATTATTTTTATCTGGAGGAATTAGTAAAAAAATGTCCTCACTGTGATTTAGTTTGGTAACTTACACATATTAAAGGTAATTAAAGAGAGAGCTTTTCAAGTTGGAATTGTGAAGAGAAAATTATGTATCAGAGGCATAAGCTTCTAATGAGAACCTTAGAAAAACAAAATCTGAGGTGATGCAGTAGCCCACGTGTTGTAGTTAGGCTTTCATGCCAACAGAGGATTACAGATAAAGAACACATCATCATCTGTATATAATTGGAACCATTATGCATAAGTAATTAAACAGCAACAATCTGATTTGCTGATTACCATTTAAGAATTTTTTTTTAAATTATGGATTGAAGACTGTTCCTGAATGAGAGTGTCCACATTTCTCATCTGAGCTCACATCATCAAGTATTTAAATACTTGCATCATAGCTGTTTGATCTCTCAAATTTAAATTACCCACAGTCATAGCTTTCAGATGAATCCTTGCTGGGAGCTGGAACTGCCCTTCAGGCGTGGACTTGGCATCTGAGTGTTTTATCCTCTGACACCAGTCCACACCCCCGCCTTAATTGTAGAGCGTCCCCACCTGTGTCCTCACATAACGCTGGGCTCACAGCTATGGACAGGTGGGAATAAATGGACAGAGAGGACCGGGGCAAGTTCCCTTGAAGAGTGAGGGGAAGAGTCTCTCTGCACTCAGTGCACTTGTATTCATGAACACTTTTGCACGTCCCATGTATAAATGTGGAATTCAGTCTGAATGGTAGATGCATGAATATCTCTTGCACTAGCTTCTATACTCAGTGTGCTTCCATAGCTTCCAAATTATTTACAGCCCCTTGGGAATGCAGGGACAGAAGAGACCCTCAGATCCTGAGTTCCTGAGAGTCACAGTGGGGCTGGGGCTCAGTGTCTCTGCCCTGCTCTCTCCCTGGAGAAACCATCTGAGGACTGGAGCCCAGCGACCAAGTCAGCCGGTGTCCAGCTGGGTCTCAGCAGCTGCTTCCTGTCTTTCAGAGGCCTTGTTCCCCCGGGTGAGTGCCTGGACGGTGGCCCTGGCTGTGCTTCTGGTGCTCTTGGCTGTCACCTTGATGATCGCTGGTTTTCTCCTCCTGAGATCTAGAAGAGCCCAAGGTAAAGGGACAAACAGTGTGGGCTGACTCATTTGTGGAGGGATTGTGGGACAATAGTTATGTATAAGTCAAGAGTTATCTTAGAAAATCTTGCTCATTTAAAGTTCAATGGGGGACCCTGAGAAGGAAGGATTCTTTGATACAGACATTCTTTACATCTCATTGGGGATTTTCAGTGTTTTCCCCTCTTCCCCACCTCTCTTCTCTTGATTCTTTCTGGACTGTCCTGCTTCTGCACAGGGCCTCGGTGACCTCAACCTGGAGGGTTCCAAGTGCTCTCCAGACCCAAAGACACATGTCTCTCAGGGTAGCATGGCACGGAGCTCTGTGCCCGTGATGGTGCGGGGCCAGGTGTCCTTCATCACTGCTACCAGTGGCCGGTTCAGTGTCCACTCAGTGTTTGACTCAGGGCTTGATCATCTACAAATATCAGTTAAATGTAGGAGTGATTCTTAGTTATATTTTTTTTTATTTCATTGGAAAGTTAAATTCTTTTTTTCACGGATTATGGAAAAAGTGTCATGTGAAACCCAATTTTCACAAAATCTCCCATGTCTTTTATTACTTTTTTTGTGGTGTTGCCCTGAATGTCAGCCTCTGCTGGATCCTCGGGGAACACCGTGTCCAGATAAGCAGCCGTGGCCAGAGCCGCCCAGTGGAGCTGCGTTGGACAGCGGCCAGGCACCTCCTGAGTTCAGGGGAAAATAGAGGAGTGAGGGGACCTACGGAGACCACAAGATTCAGCCCCATCAGGTGGCTCAAACGAAAAAGGACAGTGACAGACCATGAGCAGGCTAAAAGTTACCCTGACTTTGCTCTCATGTACACAAACCATTGCCCTTCCCCTGGAGCCCCTGCCTGCCCGACTTTATCAACTTCCTGGGCGGTGAGCGGATGTAGCAGACCCGGATGGAAGTGTGAGGGGACTTGCAGGCTGCACAATCGGACCCTGAAATCTCTGTGAGGACGGGGTCTGGGAGGATGAAGCTGAGATCTCATGAGGCTGCTCCCTGTCAGGAACCACTGGGCTTCTGACCACTCTATAAACCCATTCTCACGGCTGTGTAGTTGGGAGGAGTATAGTCGTACTTTGTCAAATATTTAGTGAGAAGAGTTTTTGGGAAAATATTTTCTCTATGAATTACATAATGTAGGAAATATACTAAATTGCTATTTAGGTAAGATTCTTTAAAAGTAATTCTTCTCAGATCATTTTCTTTCACTTCTTGCTTATCACATGAAGAGATCAGTTATTTTGGAAGCTTGAGGGGCAAGGACGTGGGAACACTATTGATCCTAATTCTGCTGCCAAGCACCTGCCATCCTGGATGTTGAATAAGCATCAGGTTCAGATTAAGATGGGACCTGATCCTACTGAACTGTGTAGAGTTTTGAAGTACTGTAAGGTGAGGATCAGAAATCTGCCTGGTTATTTTGGAAATAATAGGAGATATGGATTACATTTTTAATCCAGAGAAAGATTCAAAGATGGATGGTTTGAGTAGAACATCCAAGATGCACCCTTCTCTGGCCCAAGGTAGATTAAAGCAACATCCTCTCTGTGCTTTGACTTATAATCTTATCAATTATTCCAGATTGTGCTCCTCATTTGCTAGGCCACCCTCTAGGTGCATGGTGCTGAACTGAGAGTCTACAACCTTATTTCAGAAAAATCCATTGAATGTTCTAAGAAGAATGTATTGATTGGAATTTACTGCTCACCAATTTTCTCAAATATGGGACAGATCCATCCCAAAATTAAAAGAAAAAATGAGGAGACCCTATTTTGTATTCAAACTTTCTAATGAGCACCATCATAATACACACAATATAAGTCTCATTTTGAGGTCTAATTGCATCGTTAAGAAAACAGCAGTCCATCTCTGTTTCCACCACTGCTGAACTATCCAGTCTCAGGTTAGAAGGTCCCTTTTGTCAAATGGAGCTAAATTCTGGGATGGGATGAGTTTATTGTGGACAGGAAGAGGAGAAAATTGAGTCACATGCTTTGGTAAGTCAACAGCTTAGTAAATGATACTTGAGAGGCAATATTTGAATCTTTAAAATCAAATAACAGGGGGCTGGGGATTTAGCTCAGCGGCAAAGCACCTGCCTGGCATGTGCAAGGTCGTGAGTTCGGTTCCTGGTACCTGAGAAAAACCAAAAAAAAAAAAAAAAAATCAAATAACAGTTCACACCCTCTAAACTTTAATGTTTCTAAGATAAACCCAATCCACATATAATTGCATGCCTCTTTTTTATCTGAAATCTTGTTCAGAGACAACTCAAATATCTTCCTTCCAATTTTTACAAAATAATTGTACTGATAGCATGGGGAAGGTTGTTAGGCATACATAGAAAAATAACCCGCATTATTTAAACCCTATGAGGACTGGGAGTAGGGGGTTTGCAGATCCCACTGGACGAAGACCAGTGTCTGTTTCTGCATAAAGTAACTGGCTGCCTGTTCCATGATTTGTGAAGAACAGAGCAAGAGGTGACTGATACCTCAAGATAGATGTCAATTCTATGCTTTTGAAATAAGCTCAAAAAAAAGTATTTTAAAACGGGTGATGTATTGGAGTAATTATAGGGCTCTTTGAGAAAACAGTGCGAGCAGAGCTAGAGGTCGGGAGGGACTTGACTGAGGCAGTGGGAGGGGATCTGAGCTCAGAGCTGACAAAGGGATTTGAACTTAAAGGAGAAAATTAGCACGAACAAGGCAGGAGCAGCCTACAGCAGGGAGAGCTCTGGTTCCCTCAGAGGAGACACACATGGGCCAGGGGGCTGAGTAGGAAAATTAGGCAGATGTCAGGAAATGTAGCATCATATCTCTACATTTGATCAATCTGATCAATTTGATCAATTTCAAGCATGATTGCCCAGGCTTCAAAGTTTTAGTCAGTCTATGGCTAGCTCTTTAAGAAAGGTCTTTTTATTCCTAGGATGGGAAACAGATTCCTTAGTGAGGGGTAAAATTTGCAGAAAGAATGAAGTAGAATTCCACTCAGAGTAGAACATTCAGTGAAATGAATAAATCAGTCTGAAACTCCATCCATGTGTAATTATGCACTATTTGGTTATTGGCCTTCACATTTATAAAGTGAGTTTGTTAATCATTACATAAATTAAGTAGAGGGTAGTCTGTTTAATGAGAACAGTTTGAGTGAGAGGGAAAGATAGTCACTAGTTTCTTTTGAGGTTGAGTAACACAAGTGATATTTGTCCTCACTTTGAAGATATAAGGACAAATATGAGATATGAGGAGAATCTGCTTCAGATGGACAGTGCAGATCTGGATTTAAGTGACATCTTTGACACTTAGTAACTTCAGCGATCTCTCATTGACCACAAGACATTAACCTGGTGGAATATATATCTGACTTCCAACATAGTTATGGTGCTGGTGTTTATGACAGAAGGTTACACTCAGGACTGAGTAGTAACACATCTAAACACCTTGACTCAGATGCAGGATTTGAATTCTTAGTAGCAATTGTGTAGCTAGTGATCCTCGAAAAGAGATGGTTCTATAACTACATCTGGATCCCATAAAATTAAATTGATCTACGATAGTTACCTGGGCCCATTTAGTTTGTTTCATGAAAGAAAAATTCACCCACTGAAATCATGTAATACAAAAGAAGCATCATCAGAATGATATTTTCCTCCAACAAGCTTGTGGAAAGGATAAGACCAGCATGAACTATATCTAATTTTAACAGGTTGTAACATTACCAATGTCACATGTTTATAAATCAGTAGCATACATGTAGAGTAACAAAATAATTATTTTCATCTTATTAGAGCCTGTGTTCACTGTAATTTACTAACAGCTTTTTAAATGAACTCTTAAAGGAAATGTAGTACTAGTTTGGCATTTTATAATTAAATGGGTTACTTTCTGTTAGGAAGCCAATCCATGCATGAGTTTATGAACCTGACAGTGGGGTCTTTGCCCAGGAAACGCTCTGGGCTACCTCTGTGATCCTGGGGGAGGACAGATGCTCCTGTTTCCATCACAGCCCAGGGTCAGAGGCAATCACAACTCAGCATCAAACAGTAGTTGTGTGGTCCTGGATTCTTTTACCATAGTCAATGGAATGAGGTCAGTTTGCTCTTTAATGTCTACATTTTCCTGTGAAATGAAATTTCACAGAGTGCAGATTCCAAAGTGTACCTCACCTTTGGTCTACACATCAGAGAGCTGCCCCTGACCTCCGAGTGGGCCCAGGACACTTTTGTTCCCACACAGTGTCCCCAATGAGGCTCCATGCCCTGCAGAGAGCTGTGTCCCGCTTAGCCATGTAACCACCCCCAGGCTACTCCAGCTTCTCCTGAGCCCAGCAGCTGATGGCCCTGACATTGTCCCTAGTTGGTCCTGGTGAGGCTGCTCCCTCTGGGATGAGGAAGCTGCTGCCCCGGTCCTGCTCTCTCTCAAGTCTCCCAAAGCTGAGCTCCTCCAGGCTCGCACAGCCTTGCAGAGAGCATCTTTTAGAACTAAATGAAGAAGCTCTCAGAGAGTTTATAAATCACCTCTACCACTGTAGACATCAGAAAAATTGTGAGTGTTGACCTGGATGCAAGTGTATGATGTTTGTGACATTGCCTCTCTTATCTCACTTTTAAATCACACTCAGTTTTAGATTTTTCATCTGAATAAATCTTTCTCATAGACAAAAAATTGATTAGATATACACAGGCTGTAGATCAATCTACCCAACACAAATCCATCCAGACTGAATTCATCAATTGACCACATTAATCCCAATATGAAAATCTCAATTGTATGTTTACCTTTCCAATAATTCTGCTAAAGTTCTTTTTCTAGAATTGAATTAATACTACTTTTGAGAAAGGAAATTTGTAATTCACCATACAATAAAGCCAGCTCTGAGAAGGAAGTCATTGAACTATTTTTAAATTAATAAGTTGTATGTAACAATTTCTAATCAAGAAAAGTTATTTCACTGTCCTCATAGCTTTATTGTAATGTCAAAGGAATCCCATATAAGAGAAACTGTACTGTATAATGATGATATAGGTAAGTATAATTAGTGCCTTCTCCTATGTCTGATTCTAAAACATGGTAAATATTAAACATGAAAGATAAGGAGGAACTAGCAGGAGAGATAAATGATGAGGCAGACAGAGGGCAGACGGTGAGGATCACTGCAGGCCATGTTCATGATTTTCTTATGTTTCTTCGAAGTGGTGCAGAGTACTGCCGGGCTCTGAGTGGAGAGAGGGCAGCACTGTGATCCCATGGCCTGGGCTGTAACGTGACTGCACCATGGAGTCCACGGACTTGTGAATCAGAGTTCACTGAGGGAGCAGGGATTGCAGGAGACTCAAGACTATAAGGAGGTGGTGGAGGGAGAAGGGAAAACTTCTCAGCACTTTGGTGAGGCTGGAGTCAGGGCCTGGCAGGAAATCCAAGATGCAGCAGGAGAGGGATGATGGGAGGAGGGTGGAGCGAGTGGCCCTGTTCAGGCCTGGGTATCTGTGGACACTGTCCTCTCCCTGACAGGAGATCCAGTGCGTTCTCAGCTCCCAGATCCAGTCTTCTATTAATTCTCCACCAGTAATGATCTCTTGGATGTCACAGCCCTGTTTATAATGGGACTGGGTCTTCTGTGATGTTGGACCAAGGAAATGTATTTATGCTTTATTCCCTTTTTAATTTATTGCTTCGTCTTTGATTTTTATATTCCAAAACTATTTGTCTGCACCTTTATTGACTCACAAGACCACTTTTTATATTTCTTTATTTTTTTATCAGAAGAAAAATTTAAATGTTTATTCTTATTATCATGATAAGTGAAATCTTTGTTATGTAAGTGCCCAAAAAGGACTAGCTCAATGTACATTACTAATAACAAGAAATATTTAGCTATTCAATGATACTTTAAAAGTGTGCAGCTTTTCATGAGCAAGTGTTTAAAATGACCACTAAAGTGAAAATGACAAACGGTGTGGTAGCATTTTTGGATAATGTTCTTGTTGTGGAATAAAAATCGTCTGGATGTATGTGTAAGATACCTCAAGTAGTTATACGCAGGTAAAGGAAACTAGTGAAATGGATTTTGTTCTCTCTGATTTTTAAAAGTGTATGACCATATTTTTCTTCTAAGAAGCAATATTTGTGATGAAACAAACAAAGACAGAAACAAAAATCCCTCTCCAGGAGTGCCCAGGTCCCTTTCGGTTCTGTAATCCATGTTGCTCCCAGCACTGGGCTGTACTGACAGGCTGCAGAGGTTGTTCTGTGGGAGGAGAGACAGCACCTGGCTCATCATGAGGGCCCCATGCACAGGCAGCACCTGCTAGACCAGGACCCCAGTCATTGTTTGCTGAGCAGATGGAAATACTTGCAGTAAACTCAAGAATGTGGTAAAGGCATAAAATGAACTAATGAAGTGAAAAGTTAACAATAACAAGCTGCTTGTGATAGTTGTAGAGCACAAATAATACCAGCCTTAGTGTTTGTCAGATTCTTAAGAAGTTCAGTGGTGTCCCATGTGGAAATGCAGGACAACTGGCCCTTTGTCCTGCCTCAGATTCCAGAAATTTGCACAGATGTTCCCAAATATTTTATAAATAATATGAAGACAAAGGCTAGGAACAAGTTTCTTGGCATTTCAAAAATTAACATTGCTTTGCATTTTTCTTTTAGGGAAAATCGGTAAAGAACATGTGTTCTTATGCTAAATTGAAATTTCAGTTCATGTGTCATGAAAATATATATACCTCTTGTGTGTTTATAGAAAACGTAAAGTTTGTATACAGACCCTTTCTGTCCTTCTGCCTCCAACTCCAGAAAGCTGAACAAATATTCCTAGATATTTTACAAAACATATAGCGGCTAAGGCTAGAAATATTTTTCTTGGGTTTCAAAAATTAATATTCCTTTGTCTTTTTTTTTTTTTTTTTTAGAGAGAATTACTAAAGAACGTGGTAAGTTCTGTTTTCTTTCCTGTGTTAAACTGAAAATTCAGTGTGTGTGTCATGAAAATACTTATCCCCCTGTGGATTCTTTGCAGAACAAAGAAAACTTTCTGTGAAGAACTGTAAGTAGAGTCCTGATTCTTAAAACTGACCCCCCACACCCATTACCCACAGCAGCCCTGCCTGCCCAACCACTCCGCTGACTTTATGTCTCCATCTGGTCGTAGATCTGAAGGAAGCTCGACAATTTGCAGGTAATTGCAAAGGGAACAGTTTAAAGTGACTGCATATTTGCCACCTCAGCTCTGTGGGATTGGAAGAAAACATTTTTGCCAGTAATCTCTAAGACTCATGTGAACTAGGAAGACAGCTTGATGCTGGACATGTGTGCCTGAGGTTATGTGAGAACCAACACACTGGACACGGGAGATGTGAGAAAACACTCAAGCGAATACACGAGGGATGTGTGTTCTGCTTTGCCTTAGCACATGCCTCACATATCAATTTGCAAAACATAAAATTTTACTTTGCCTCATGTTTCTTGAGGTTCCAGGTCCTGGGCAGTTAGCGCTGGGGATTTTGCTCCTGTGTCAGGGGTGCAGGTCTGGGTGGGAGCCTAGCAGAACAACTCACCACGTGGCCTAGAAGTAAATGGGAGTGGGGGGCCCAGTTCTTTTGCATGCGCTGTGCTGCTGACCCCGGGTTTCCCATCAAGTTCCACTGTTAAACCCCTCCCCCATTCCCAGTAGCAGCAAGTTGTGAAACCAGGGTCGTGGAGGGTTTCAGATCTGCACACAGTACCTCACAGAGCACAGATGCAGGGAGCTCACCTCAGTGCCAGGGAAGGGTCTGTGCCAGTCAGGAGCAGGGGGCTTCATCGCCCTGATCCTGGGGCATGAGAACCCGAGCACCTCAGAGCTACAAAAGACCCAAGAATACGGGAAAGTCTCCCCGCTACCTCCTGGCTCCTGTAGCATCGAGTCCTCCAGGTCTGTCAGGATCTCTGCCCATGTGAGCGTGTGATGGCTTTTATTCTTCTTCATCAAAAATAGCAGTTAACAATAACTGGTATTGGTTGAATTTCTCCATTTGCTGTTATATTACTTTTTCTTTCTTTACAGAGAGCCTTAATGAGTAGCTGGGAATCCTCATTCTCTCTAAATTTCACCACCTCACTTTTCCCCCGTTATGACCTAATAAGGGTCCAACCCTAAACACAGCCTCCCTGGCCCAGCAGTCCTCGCCCTCTGGCCCTGCTCCTCTCCAGCTCCCTCCTTCCTCTCCTCCCCTCGCTCTCCTCCCTGCCCTGCCCGGGTTCCTCCCCATGAACACACTGACCACGCTGCTCTGTGCTGCTGTCCCGTGGTCTCCTGCTTCCTCTGTGGCAGTTTTCCTCTCTCCGTGGATGCGGTGTCCTGTGTGGGAACCTGGGAAGCACTGTGAGCATCAGACACTGGTAACACCTTTCCCAGGTGTCGGCCCCATGTCCCCCATTCCTTCCAACCGTGTCCTCAGAAACTGAGGTGACAGCACAGATCAGGTCCAGAGGTGAAGGGTTTTGGAGAAGTTTCCCTGAAAAGAAAGATCTCTGCACATGTAGGTGGGTGGGTTCATGGGCCGTGGGCTGTGGAAAGGAATCCTGGATCCCTGTGCTGTGTCCTCACCCCTCCTTTGACAGCACTCAAAAATTGAAAGCTCTTTTCTTAAGGCCTACAGGTAATGGGTCTCTTCTTTTTTTGCAGAAGACATAGTTCTGGATGAAGACACTGCTCACCCTCAGCTCTTGGTGTCAGATGATGGGAAACTTGTTTACTATACGTCAGAACAGCGAGCTGTTCCTGAAAGCCCTGGAAGATTTACCTCTGTCCCAGCTGTGCTGGGTCGGAACAGCTTCTCTAGTGGAAGCCATTACTGGGAGGTGGACGTAGGAGGGAATAAAAGGTGGACAATAGGAGTGTGCTCGGATTTGGACAACAAGGAATTATATTATGGGGATGTTCATCCCCAGAATGGTTTTTGGACCATTGACAGGAGTTATGATAATTATAAGGTTCTTTCTCTACCCCAATATAATTTTGAGGTTTTAGCACCTCCCATGACAGTGGGGATTTTTTTGCAATATGAGCAAGGATTGATCTCTTTCTATGATGTGGAGCAATTTACTGTACTCCATACTTTCACAGCCAAGTTCACTCAACCCTTGAAGCCATGTTTTTTTACTGGATTTCCCTCTCTACGACATTATCCTGGCCTTTTCATTCCCCAAGTGCCACCACCAGATGAATCTGGTCCTCCTTAGAGCACATCTGAAGGGCCTTCTGCAGGGCTCATCCCCAGGGACCAGGACAGCACACACCTTCCCAGCCAGGATACCACATGGTCGAGGGGGGCATCCTCCTCCAAGGGAAAATTAAGTATAATTTTCTAGTTTCTACTGCCAGTTTCTACTGCTCACTCCTGCAGCCCAACTTTCCCTTAATGTACCTCTCTTTATCCCTGCCAGCTTTGAGAAATGCAACTTCTTCCTATTATCCCTGATTTGAGCATGAAACTCTGAAAAGAGCTAGCTGCTTCCCTCAATAGATCACTGCCATGCATTTCTCACCATGCTCGAGAACAGAGTAACAGTAATTTTATATTTCACCACTGACCATGGTCTCTCAACTGGCAAAGTCAAATGTGCTTATTTGGTTGACCATGTTTTTGATAAAATCAGTGTTCTAAGATAGCGAGTGTGTATGATATCAACAAACTGAGTTAAATCGAATCTTAACAACAAGACTATTAGCAAAGACATTTAAATATGGCAAACACATACATAGCCCAACATTCCCTTTCAATTTTTTATCTTGTTTTAAATTTTAAAACACTTAATTGGCCATGGTGATATATATGAAATATATAAAAGATGACTTGATGTTGGGATATGTACACATTGTAAAATGTTTTCCACAAGCAGACTGAGAGAGCCACCACCTCCCATGCTGGATATGGATTCTCTAGATCTCGTCCATCTTATAATTCAAACTTTGCAACCTTGACCTGTGTTTCCCTATTCCCCTCCCCACCCCATTTTCCGGTAACCAGTGCTTTATCCTCTGCTTCTATGAATTTAACATTTTTATATGTTTTGATTTCACGTGTACATGAATAAATGTCAAGAAAACTGGATCTCTGTTTAAGGACATCTCCTCTCCTTTGAAGTACAAGTCTACATAAACTTGGAATACTGAATAGAATCCATGCCATGGGTCTCCAGGGTCCATCATATTAAACAATAAAAGCCTTTCATACCTCCAGTGTTCAGCCTGGGGAAATTATAGAGAAAACTCAAAGGTGGTGAAAACTGAACTCTGACCATTGTTGGTGAGACTGTAAAATGTTACAAATACCATGAGAATACTATTAGAAGATTCTCATAAATACACAATCATCCTGTGACCTGCATCTCCACTTTCAGTTTTGTGCTATACAGAAATGGAACATATATAGAGAAGCTAGCACAAAAATTCCATAGCAGCTTATTTGTTATTTTCTAAACACTGAAAAAAGTATTCAATTATCATTAAGAGAATTTGAGAATAAACTTTAGTACATTTTCACAACTCAATATAATTTAAAAGTAAAACAAACAATTGCTATTATATTCAATAATGTAATTATCACAGTTATGCTGAGAAAATGTACTGAATGGCAAAAGCTTCATCCTGTTTATTTCCACATGTCTGGAGTCCTTGAACAGATATGAGTAGTCTACATTTTCTAAAGAAAGTACAGTCTTATTGGTCTTGGGGATGGATTAATTGACTGAGCGAGAACAGAGAGGACTTCCTGGAGTGATCAAAGCATTCTATTTGTTGATAGTGGAGGTGTTTCATGGATGTGTGAATGGGTCGGAGCTTATCTCCCACCCATTAAGATCAATGATTAAGATTAATGTAAGATTAAAGTACGATTAAGATCAATGACATCTGCATACATCTCCCCTCAGGATCTTTAACTTTTGTCCTTCACATCCCAGTGACACTGTGTGCAAACACTTTCACAGAGTAAGGGCTGTGGCTAACATAATACAGCAGGTAAACAGTGCATTGAGATCACATCCTACAGACCCACCTTGTACTTGGTCACCTGCATTACTTACTCCTTCAATGGGTAGCCAAGAAGAGGATGCTCATGCAGTCCTGTGGGAGGTGACACTGACAGAGTCAGAAGCTGGCTCTGTGCTAGTAGACCTATAAATTCCTATGATGTGGATTACGCAGCTCCAGGCAAAGCAATTTCAAACTGCAATGTCCTGAGAGAACCAGACTGTAACCATTTTGAGTCAGGACAATAGGGAGAATAAGTAGAGGGCATCACAGGAATATGCAAGGCTCAACCATATGCAAGTTCAAAGTTACCAAGGTAAAACCATTTGCTTTGAGAAGAGAGACCCAGAGCATATTTTTGGAGGAGAATGGCTGCCAAATTTCCAGGGATTCAGTAAACATGCTCAGCAATCTAGTACTGAGAGGCCAATACAGGCACAACTCAAGATGACGTGGCTACAGCTTGAGCTGGAAAGAGACCTTTGCATGACCAGTGTTGCTGGTTTCACAGATGTGCAGAATGCAAGAGCTGTGGGGTCAGAGAGGCTTCCACCAGATCTCAGAAGAAGGCCTTGGAATCCAGGCAGGCTGCCCTGATAGAGTGCAGTCCATGAAGTTGAGAGTAAAGTTGAAAGTGCAGTGGAGACCCACAAGGTGAGAGAAGCTAGGAATGTGAAACATCTGAGGAAAACTCCAAACTGAACAAAGCCAGCACAGGAGAGAAGCCGGGAGACCTGCAATCAGCAGCTGTGCAAAGTGGCCAGGGCTCCCCACTCCCTTTGGAGTTCACATCTCAGTGACACAACTTGCCTGGGTGCTGGGAATGGATCTGCAGGGTTTGCTGTTTGCCCAGCTGGGTTTCACACTTGCTGTGGTCCCATTTCTTTCTATATCCATGTTTCTGCCTGTTGAATAGGGACTGTTTGTCCTGTGCCATTGTATGTAGATATTGCTTATCTTTTTTTGTGGTACCCATAGAGGCTCATAAGTGAGAGTTTGCTTTGGATCGAAGAGGACATTTTGCACTTGGA